TGCAAGTTGGTTTGTCTCTTTGCTATGCTCCTACATGAATCCCTATCCCCCAATCCCTTTTGTATGTTGAGTTATGGTTCAGAAACATGACAACACTTGACATTGTTGTTCATGTATATGGACTAGACTCCCTGAGTCCTAAACTCTTTCAATTCCCATTCCCCTTTCCCCTTTATATGTATCTTGAGCTTAAGACCTTGGTCTGGCAGTGTCCTAATCACTGTCTAGACCATAGTCTGACCTTCAATAGGTCTGTGCTCTTATTTGCTGGTTGAACAGGCTTGGTTAGGGGTGTGCCAGCCTACCTCATGGTTAGGTATGACCACCAGCTTGCCTTGGCATTCTCCCCCCCTCTATTGCACTTGCACTCATTCTTAGAATTTAAGTTCTGCCCCTCTCTTGTGAGCCTTGCTTTGGGATCCCTGAGCTCCCTCTGAACTTGGACACCTCAGGGTTGGCTCTTCCACACTGCACTATAACTCATTCTAATTAATATCTTGGGTGTAAGCATTGCCTGGGGTTCCTGAAACTCCTTGGATCTCTGAAACACCCTAGATAAGAGAAGGCTTTGGAAATCTTGATCTCGGAAGTGGTTCAATCTCATATTATTAGACACTAAGTCTGAATTAGGCTGCTCGGATGTAGCTGATAGCTTCTGATGTACTTTTAATTTCAGTCTTGTTCTACTGGTCTGTAATGATTTGTATAAACTCATGGGGATTTAGTGAAATAGGGAGGGGTTACTTTTATGCACAAAGGGTAGAAAATATACCTATAGGATTTTGTCTCTAATTTGTGCAATTTCATACGTAGAAAGCATGTCTATAGGATTTAACTTCTGAATTCTGCAACTACGCATGTAGATACCATGCCTATAGGGGTTTGCATCTCTGCATATAATAGCATCATTAGGCAAACAGATAGGTTTAATAATAAAATGGCATATGTAGATATCTTGGTTTACAAGGCTTCCATTAGTATTTAAAAAGGTATCACGTATAGAAAGCATGCCTATAGGGATTTCGAAACCAAAAATTGTCTCACTTATTCAAAACAGTGTTGATTTTACTAAAGCAAACAACTTTTCTTTCTAAACCTACTCGCATGAACTCTGGTAAACATTTCCCAACCGATCTGCATTCTGGAACTCGTTTAGTTGTTAAACCACGTACCCTTTTCTGAAACTTTTTGTTACTCTGAAATTTTCGTTTAAAATCAGCTTGTGTTTTTAAAATCAGTAGTTCTATCCAACACATTGACAAAAAAGGTTAACTAATCAACTGGATCAGTCCTAGACAACTGCATTCGAGTAAGCCTAATGCAGACTTCCTATCTAAAAATATGTGTTGAACCAGCCCGCTCATCGCTTTAATTTAATTTAAGACTAAACTAGTACGTGCAAGACATGCTAAACTCTATGGCTTTATATGATTTTAGGAGGCTTATGTGAGCCCTACTTGCTTATTTGCTTTCCCCTTTACTTGCATTATGTGTTTTGATTGACGCCTTAGTATTTTGTCCTTTGAAAACTCTCCAAAAGGCCCCAAACTCCTCTCCCATTAGGACTAGTTAGTCCAAATGCCTCCGGGACTGATAGGATTGGGACGGGTAGTAGCATGCAATAAGTAACGAGACATTCCGCGCTTTAATACCTTAATGGGGTGGGAAGGGTAGATATGGATATGATGACCACGCGATAACACCACGTGTATAAACGATTATCGGGTGTTGTGTGGGGTGATCCATATTATTTATAAACATAGGACCCCCCTCCCTTTATCTGTTTATTTTTATTTCGGAAACTACTTTCTTCTCAAATTTCAGCCTCTTTAACTTCGTTTAATTTCAAATCATTTGCAACTATTATATGAAAATCCCCTCGTATTTGTAATTCTTGCTTGTTTACTTGTTGTTTGCACTTAAAGTCACAACTGTAACATGGCCGGAAACCACAATAGTGGATCTTGAGGGGTGCCTAACACCTTCCCCTCGAGATAATTTCTAGCCCTTACCCAAACTCTGGTTCTTCATCTCAAATTCTTTTAAAGTGTCCTAATGCACTATAATCATTAGGTGGCGACTCTTCAATTCTAAAACCCAATTCCCAAACGGGAATAGAGTTGTCTTTTCCAAAAAATGTCGTAAACCTGATTTCTTGGGAAAAAGGGGGCGTCGACAACCGCTCGCGTGACGTAACTGACATAATGATGGATGCATTGAAGAGTTGAAGAATTCAAATCGTTCCTTGATATTTCATTTGGTTATAATTAGGGAAAGCCGATTTTAAGGCTTCGATGGCGTTTTCGAGCTCGGCCTCGGTAGGATCGAAGCACAGTTCAAGGCTCATCCTCAAAGCACTCGCCTTGGCAGAGCACATCGAAGACTCATCGTGACGTACCTCGAGGCAGCATGAAAATCGACGATCGTCATAAAGAGGCAGGAGGCTCCCGAGAGCACATGATGAGGACTGACAGAGTCAGCAAAAAAAAGTATACATCCATACTGAGCCGTTGCACAGCTGTACTAGTAGCATTTATTATTTATTTATTAGATATGTACTATGTTGGGATTCACCCCTCCTATATAAGGGTGACCCTTGTCGTCTTGTAAGGATATGACATATTGAATAACATACAACATTCTCTGTTCTCTTTGCAAAAACAACTATTCTTCACATTTATTGCTTATTCTTACATTGTTCATTTATTGTTCTTCATTAATTGCTCATTATTAATCGTAAAAGGCCATCTTTAAGGCCCTCATTACCATTGATTCTTTATCAATAGTTCATAGTTATTAGCCCCATCTAGACCTTGAGGTCCTGCTTCAGCCAGCTCGAGGCCCAGCTTTGTGACCCCATTGGTTTGCATATCTTATTCTCTTTACTTATACCTAGCATCTATTGCTTAACAACTAGTATTAAAATAAATTACGTATTTTTAGAACCACAAAATCAAATATAATTATAGTTACCATTTTCAAGGTAAACACTACTCAAGGTGTCAAACCACCAAACGAAATGCTAAAACACAAAACAATCAGTCGGATCGTTACACCCATGAGTCATGGAACCCAAATCTGTTATCAAAATTCCATTTTGATGTCATTAGCGTGCTTAACTCAACAATTATTCATTTCTAGGTTTCTTACATTCTCTCTTGACTTGTCCCAAATCCTTGATTTTATATTAAAATAAATGATAGGTCCTTAACTTGATGATAAAGTGAGTTAGAATCACATACCCTAACATGGTTGATAAAGAAATAGGTCAAAAACCCTAACACTGAGCTTCCATGCTCCAGAATTGAAGAAAAATGCCAAAACAACGAAATGGGCTTTATTTATAGTGCGAAAAACCATCTGGCAGTAAAAATGAACTGCCACGGTGCCCCCGACGTTGCCCCTCATATTGCGGTAATGTTGCAACCTGCAACATTCTGTTGACAAAAAAATTACTCTGCAACCCTTCAGTAAAACGATCATAACTTCGTGCTCAAATTTCGGAATATCAAATGGTTTGAACCACAAGAAACTAGACTCAAAGAGCTACAATATCATCAAACCTCATCCTAGAGTTATTTATATATTGGGATATATGCGCTCCGAAGTTAAGCCAACTATAGAAAAGCCCTATTTCAGCAACTCAATTCTACCGAAACTTTCCCCAAATGCGCCAAAACTTACCCGAGCCTCGCAGGACTCCATCTAATCATTCCTAAAAGTCCAAATACGCTATATGAAATTGTCCAAAGGCTCAAAACACCAATGGGAACATCACAACAAAGAATCGGGGCTCAAACCTAATAGAATTTCTCTCAAGTTCTTAATCCACATTCTTTTAAAAGAGTGTCCGAATCACACTTATAGCCTGTTTGGCCAAGTTTTTCCAAATCCAAAAGCACTTTTTTCAAAAGAGGTGCTTTTTTTAAAAAGTTGAAGTGTTAGGCTAAACTTTTAGAAGAAAAAACATGCTTTTGAGTAGAAGCAGAACCAGTTTTGGAGAAGTAGAAAAAAGTAGCTTCTCTCCAAAAGCACTTTTTTAAAAAGCATATTTGAGAAAAATACACTTAAATCACTTTTTAAAAGCTTGAAAAAATATTAATCGCTGCCCAGAAGTGCTTTTCAAATTGATTAGCAAAACATAAACTATTTCTCACCAAAAGTACTTTTGAGAAAAGCACTTTTGAGAAAAAACACTTCTCAAAATAAGCTGATTTTTGCAGCTTGGCCAAACAGGCTATTAGACACTTTGGATTACTTCCAAACTTTGCACACAAGTTCAATTCAACTATATAGACCTATCTGAAGTCTCTGAACATCAAAGTCAACTCTTGGTCAAACATATGAACTTTTAAGTTGTTCAAATTGTCAACTTTCAACAAATGGCGTCGAATTCTTCTAGGAACCCCCAAAATCAAATACGAACATATGTACAAGTCCAAAATCATCATAAGAACCTATTGGAATCATCAAAACCCGATTTCGTGTCCGTTTACCCAAAAGTCAAACCTTGGTCAATTCTTCCAACTTAAAGCTTCGATTTAAGGACTAAGTGTTCCAAATCATTTTCAAACCTCTTGGGACCAAAATCACTCATACCCAAATCACTCATACCCACAAGTCATAAAAACATCAAATGGACCTATAGGAAGTCTCAAATCATGGAACGAGATGCCAGAACTCTAAATAACCGGTTGGATCATTACAATTGTAGTGTGTCGCACAAATATTACTTTGACAACATCATAAGACTAGGATTTAAGTTACATACACTAAAATCATAGTAATGTTTTTATACAGTTGTAATTTAATTTATTATAGAATTTTACTTATCATTTAATCTAGGTTATTAGTGCATGCTATAAATGAACGTCTAAACAATGACAAGGTCTTTTTTGTTAAATAAAAATAAAAATTTTTGACAAAAAAGGATGAAATGAACAATTTTAAAATATTTAGGGGTATATTTGAACTTTTGTCTCTTTAAACAAACCAAACTAGGAAAAAGAGAAGTTACTAGCAAATCTTTCCCTTCCTTGCGTGGAGGTTTGTTTGCAGTCGGCTGTCCAGTCGAATCTGTACTAGGAGAGATGGCGAATCAGCTCTACGGCTATAACCCTAGCAGCAATGCGGGAATAGCAGCAGGGAGCAACCTGTCTAGGACGACGACGAGATCCATGGACGACTATCTCTCTATGGATAATAATAAGACATTACTTGGTTCCTCAAGTTATTTTGGTTCTTCCGGCTATTCCTTCTCTTCACCCACTATGCTATTCAATCAAAGTGATAGTTATAACCCCTCTGCGAGTAAGATTCCAGGTTTGGCGGCTTATCAGTCCTCGTGGACTGCACCTCCTGGAGTCGATGTTGCGCAACCTCCTGCTGCCGACTCTTATTTTTCTAGCTTGAAGCGCTCCTCTTCTGATGGTAAGGGACAATTTTCTCTTTATCTCTCCTTCTATTTATCCATTTTGTGCTTGTACTTCTTAATGAACTATAGCTGCATCTGACTAATATAAACTTTTGATTTTTTCTATTAACTTCTCGAATGCACCATGTATCGGCCGTTTTTATCTGCTATTATCTTGAGATTTAGAAGAATGGAACACTTACTTTTCATTTTCTGTATTAGTTGAGAATATGTTTTAGACATGTTAGCACTTTTACTGGGAGTGGTTTAACCTTTCAGAGATTCATACATTATACTTCTAATACTTTCTAGTTGTATTTGCATAATATTGATGTGTTTAAATGAAGTAATGTGGTTCAGTGACATATAGCTGACCCCAACTTGTTTAGGATTGGGGCATAGTTGTTGCTGCACCTCCTATATTGGCAATTGCAAGGAGGGGAGGTTGTTTTGAGGTAGGGCTTAGTGCGATGATATGAAAGTATCGGTTGGCGGTTTGCCTTTGTTGTGTGAGACTGTGAGGTTGGGGGTTTCGTTCAGCACTTAACTTAACAATTTACTCCAAATAAATAATGCTGCCTCCAGCACAGTGCATTTGAGTTGCTCTCTTGGTATAGCTTTAAGATATTAAGATATATCTCTACTATTTTAACAATTAACAACAAATAATTTTTGTATAAGTCCAGTAATGTTTTCTGCTCTTTATGAGTTAGATATATTCCATGTAATGGGCAAGTTTTGATAAATCTTACTGGTGTTTAAAGCTTTTGTAAACACCACTAGTTTCTATGTCCTTTTTTTATACCAAGATATCTGTTTTCCCATGTGTAATTAGTGCATAAAAGCATTATTTAAGTTTTATTAGTTATTTGAATTCTTGTTGCACATATTTACTAGTACTACCTTATGTAAATATAAAATTGTATACTTCTATGTATAATAACAGACACATCTGTGTTTTTGTGTTTATGTATATATTACGTACCATAGCACTGTATCATCGGACACTTTTGGGTGCACGTAATACAATTGGGCAAGCTGAAGCTTGGTTTTCAGCCAATCCTTTAGCCAAGCGCCCTAGATTCGAGAGTGCAAGCAATTTGTCTATATATCCCCAGAGGCCTGGAGAGAAGGATTGTGCCCATTATATGCAAACAAGAACCTGTAAATTTGGAGATAGCTGCAAGTTTGACCATCCTATTTGGGTTCCGGAGGGTGGAATCCCAGATTGGAAAGAGGTGATCATTTATTGCTATTTATTCTTAATAGAAAAAAACACAATAGGTTATCAAATAAGTCATTCTTATTTCACTTAATGTATTACATTGCTTTCCCGTGTATATCTATATTAAGTCTTTACTTATGAAAATGCTGGGTAAGTTTCCATGTCATTTAAGCAATAGCTTTTATGAAATGTGTAGTTTTAATCTGGATATCTTTTTATTTTAATATGCCACTACAATATCTAGTTAGTATATCTTGCATATATATTTGTTTTACTCCGCGTACTATATCTAGAAAATGCAATGTTGATGTATGTGGAACATTGACGTCTTGATCAGGTCTTTAATCTCTATAATGATGACGTACTTCATAAAAAAAAATCTCTATACTGATGAGCTTGTATCTTGTACAAGTTTCTTTAGCCCTCCATTTGAAGTTATTAAGAGAAAAACTGTACTCCACTATTCCACTTGTTCTGGGAATTTTTTTGAGTGGTATCTATACCCAGGTTTGAATCCTAGCTGCAATACTTAGTTTGAGCCGAACAGGTTGTCCGGTGAATTAGTCTAGCTGTGTGCTAGCGCGGACTGTTGCCGTCAAATGATCTCATGTGGACAGTACTCTTTATTCTGCAACAGAATACACACAATTGCTCCTTACTAGTCCGAATAAAGGTTAACCTTATCTTTCATTTGCTCCTCACTATGATCAATCCTCTTTTAATACCCATTTTCTTGGTTTCTTATAGACAAACCCACATATGATTTCCATTTGTGTAATTACTTTTATTATTCGCTCCCCAAGATTGTTCAAACCTCTCACGTTCCAAGACAATATATTCATATGCATAATAGTTGGTTACTATTGCCTACTCTTCCTTTTCCTCAACTATACTCTCCCCCCAAATTCGTCTTTCTACTTTCATGAAATATATCACACACTCAACCCTGAACCTTGGCTGCCTTTCTTCATGAATAGCTAATTGTAGTGCATGGTGTACCCTATTCCCCTATCTTCTTTTGCTTCCATTTTCTCTCAGCTATTGACAGGACCGTATCCCCCGTTTGAACCACTGGTATAATATTCCAGGTAACTTCCCAAAGGCACTAGGTTTCCCTGTAAACCCATACAGATTAGCCTCTTCCTGACATTCTGAACAGTGTGAGGGAGTCACTTTGACAACTTTCAAGGGAAAGCAAGACACCTAAGTCACTTTGACAGCTTCAACCGATGTGTCTTACTTTCCTTTTAGCCCGTTTCAAATAATATACCTCCTTTCTATGTTAATTCTAACATTCCTATTTTATCCGTAATGACATTCCATTATAGAAATGACATGACATATTGAAGGCCACAAGATTCAAAGTGTACTTTGGGTATGTTAAGTGTGTTTGGTATGAAGGAAAATATTTTTCAATTTTCCCATGTTTGGTTGGCTTAAATACTTTGGAAAACACTTTTCATTTGAACTCATTTTCCTCCAATTGGAAGAATATGATTTCTCTACCAAGAGGAGGAAAAATAATTTTCAAAATTCTCTTTCAACCTTCCCACTCCCACCCCAACCCCTAATCCACATCCTCGCCACCTCGACCCCATAGCCCGACCTACCATCTTGCACCCCGATCTCACCCCGACTTACTCAACCACGCACCCTCCGTCCACCCTCCAAACCCGCCCCGACAAATCTCCCCCTCCCAAACCAACACCCGCCCTAGCACACCACCCACTTCTCCCTCGGCCCCTTTCCTCTGCCCTTGTCCTACCCCCTCACCTCATCTCCCATAGTTTTTGCCTAGATTATATATTTTTCAAAAAATAATTTCTGTTAACCAACCAAACGCTAGAAAATAAATAAGAAAATCACTTAATTTCAAGAAAATATTTTCCAGGAAAACATTTTTCGTGGAACATATTTTACTTTGTACAAAACATATCCTTAGTTTAAAATCACATGATTTAGAAGTTTTGTTTACATTTTTATGCTTCGTAGTTGATTCAAACTAAGACCCATAAAATGAAACACAGGGAGTGCTTTATACTTTAGTAAAGTGTTTTCGCTTTAGTAGCACTAATAAATCCTAGACGCTTGACTTATCACAAATAAAAAATAAAATAAAAATAAAGCCTAGAGGTTTGTCCCAATAATGGCTTTGGCGATACTCCCTTACAAAAATGCCACGACATTTGTAAGACTACAAGATTCAAAGTGTATTTTTGGTATGTTATGCTCACCTTTAGTTTAGAATCACAAGATTTAAAAGTTTTCTTCACATTCTTAAACTTCGTGCCAATTCAAATTAAGACACTTAAAATGAAGAAGGATTAACCTAATTAGCTGTTTATTCACCCAACTGCTTAAACTAAAAATAGCCGGCACATCATATGTATAATTCATGTATAGTAGGTGTATAACCATGTATAATCAATGTACAATATACGTATACCGACGATGAAAAGTAAACAGTGGATTCGGCTGGCTAGTTGTGTAAAGATCCCTAAAATGAAACTAAGGGGGTGCTTTATTTTTCAGTAAAGTGATTTCCCTTTGCTAGCACTAATAAAACCTAGTTGACTTATCAAAAATTTAAAAATAAAAAGAAAAACAAAACACTAGAGGTTTGTCCTAGTAATGGCTTTGGTATCAGTAACACGGGTTAGAGGTATATGAAGGGTGTTCCTTGTTTTATTATGGTGGAAGTTATGCTTTGTTCACATAATGGCTTTAAAAGAACATCAAAGAGATTGAACCCAGCTCTTTGTTTAAGTTTTGTATTACTCAGGAGAGAGGGATATTTGGTCCTCCACCATATTAGTTTATCATTTTATCATTAATTGTTCTCTAAAGAGACTTGGGGGCCCTCTTCATTGAAAGTTTTGTATTACTTGCAAGACAGCAATATCTGGTCCTCCACAATTGTAGTTTATTGTTTTATTGATGAATCGTTTTCTTATTTATAGAACATCAACTTGTTTTCCAGTGGTTTAGTTGGTTGATGAGAATTTCTATGGCCCAAGGTTTTTTGAGTGTCGTTTTTCTGTGCGGGCAGTTTCAATTGACAGAATCTTTCACGTATTGTTACTATCTTTGCTTCAGATAGTCTATGGTATTATTTTGCAAGGATAAATGGGTAAGAGATAATTTACAAAGTAGTTACCGCTCGAGAGAGCTCATATTTTCCAAATTCTTCTGTAATATCTATGTTTTCACGCTTAGACGATAACATAATATTGTGATACACCAATTTTCCAAAGTGTGAATTAACTCCTTTGTCATTTTTGAAATCTGGCTTTCACATTAATATCTTCTTTAAAAACTTGCGGATTTTTGCTTTAGCAAGTACTCAGCTTCGTTTTCTGTATTGTTTTGTCAATTGGTGAAGGACAATTTAAACGTTATGAAAACAGAACTATTGAAATGCTATCCATCTAATTCGTGCTTGTTCCTTGTTGGTGTGGGAGGCATTAGTCATGTATTTGTAAATTCATTTGGTTTTTAGGAGTTGGTATATCTTTCTTTGCTTCCAACTTCGAGGTGGTGTGTTTGGTTGAAAAGGATTTGTTATTACATTGACAAAGATTGGTAGCTATTTGTTTTTTAGGCCTTCATCTATAATTACATGTTCATGTCCTACTCCCTTTGTCCCATTTTATGTGGCACACTTTCCTTTTTACTTTGCCCCAAAAGGATGATACTTTCTATATTTAGAACCAACTCAATTTTAAACTTCTCATTTTATCCTTAATGAGATCATTTATAGCCACACAAATGTTTATAGTTTGTTTTATATCACAAGCTTCGGAAGCGTTTCTCTCATTCTTTAACTCTGTAACCAGTCAAACACCATTATGTAAAATGGGATGGAGGGAGTATTTTTTTGGGTGACCTACATGATAATGTCATACATATAATACTAGTCCCCCCTTTCCATAAACTTGTTGTGATTTCATTTTTTGACATTCTCAAAATACTTTTAATTCTTGAAATGAACTGTTTTTCAACTTCTCTATTTAGTTATTTATATACCTTAATACCTTTTATACTTTCTTACACTTAAAGATGCTAGATGTACAAGGTAGCTGAAATTCTCTTTCCCACTAGTTTCAAAATTCATGCTTGATACTCATGCTCATCATTTACAAATTGAATTATGATAATGTAAAGCATTTTAGGGTTTTCACAGTCCCCGATTAATTCTAAACTCTCACTTACAAAAAAAATCCTAGACTAGCACTTGCAGCTTGCTAATTGCTAAAGATTCAGAGGCAAAATGTCTATTCCTTCTAGCTGGTATATAGTCGAGCTCTTGGCCTCACGCAGGCTGGTTCATGCATTGCACTTTTGACAGTTCTTAACATTAATTACATTATCATGGACGCTCATTCCCTGTGGAAAGTTGGAGGCATCGCCCTTTTGTCTGGTGGAAGATCCTTTTAAACTGTTTCATATTTGCATCCACTTGTCTGTAAAATCTGTCACCACATCTTATGTTTCAAGCTGTTTTCCTCCACTTCATCTATGCAGGTTCCAGTTATAACTGAATCTCTTCCTGAAAGACCTGGAGAGCCTGATTGTCCAGTAAGAAAAACTCTTTGACGTGTTTGCAGCTATGTGTGTTGTTAATATGCCTAATTGTATGTTGACATGTTTCCAGTATTTTATGAAGACTCAAAAATGCAAGTTCGGTAATAGATGCAAATTCAACCACCCCAAAGATAATACAGCTCATTTGGTAGGTTCACAGGCTCAACTTCTATATTCTTATTATGAAGATAAAGTTTCATTTATTTCAACTGTTAATTTGGCTTCGGTCTCAGGGTTCTGTACAAAATTCTGATGTTCCTGTCTTGCCTGAGAGACCTTCTGAACCCTCATGCGCGGTATGCGAATATTTGTGCTCATTTTAGCACTACGTATTACCTAAGATTGTGTGAGTATGCATGTAATGTGTTGCTGGTTCATAGTTACTTAAAATCATACTGTGGCAGTTTTACATGAAGACGGGGACATGTAAATTTGGTGCTACCTGCAAATTTCACCATCCAAGAGATATACAATTGCCATCTCCAAAGCAAGAAAGTGGCTCTGCGGAAAACCCTGGATCTGCTAATAATGAGATGACTGAGGATGTGAATCTCGTCAAGCCGCTTTCTGTTCCAGCTTTATTGCACAACTCCAAAGGCCTTCCTATTAGACCGGTACTTCATATATTTTATCGTTTATCTTCATTGAGTAAGAATGTATTACATGCTTTTTTCTTGTTTTGTTTACTTTTTGGTTTGTCTTTTTCTTTTCCTTTTGTGCTGTCACAGGATAGCTATTAATAGACTGCAGTTTTTGTCTACTTCATTTGACAATTGTTAACATGATTTTACTATAGCAAAAGAATTATGATATTGTGATACTTCGATCCTGGCACCGCAATTTGACTTTGAGGATTTATTGTGATGAAGAGCGTGTTGTTCTTAAGACAATCTAGCTAACTAATTTTTCACCTACTGCTGACCCAAGGATCTTAAAGCATCTCATGTCTTTTCATTACCTGAGTAATGGGTGCCACTGCCATCGTAGTGATGCTAGGCTACATTGAAGTTTGATTCTTTTCTTCAGGTATTTGTCTACAGTATGTTTCCATTTTGTAGATCCAGGTACTTCCTATTTGGAGAAATTAGCAAATAGAAATTTTTAAGAAGAAAATTAGCAAATAGAGATTTTAACCTCTAGAAAGAGAAAGCAGAAGAGAATATGAGTATTCATCCGTAAGGACCATGGCTTTTCTTTTTGATAAAATAACCATAACTTAGCTACTTGAAGCTGGCTGTTTTTGTTAAGCTTAATTAGATATGCTAAGAGGTGTATTTTCAGAGACCCACAGGAAGTAGTTCATTCGTCTGGTTTTTATCTTTTACAGGGTGAAGTTGATTGTCCTTTCTACCTAAAAACTGGCAGGTTAGTCTGTTTTTGTTGGTAAACATGGGAGTTTTTCTACTTTTTGTTCTTCTGCTAACAGTTTAAATACTCAAAAAGTTGGACTACTCATTGGTTTACAACGCATCTTTTTTTTTTTGTTTGTTTTTGGGGGTAAATATCAAACAGCTGCAAGTATGGAGGCACTTGCCGTTACAACCATCCTGAAAGAAGTAAGGATATTAATAAGTTCTGTTGGATCATTGCTAAAATATTTTTCTCGGTCTTAAGCTTCTTGTTTGCCATACCTATTAAAAAAAGGTTCTTGTTTGCCTTCTGTTTGTTTTGAATTTTATAGGTTTTGGTCTGATATGTAATTATGTGTGAAACACATCTCTGTTGAATCTAATCTAGTGTCAGCATACTTCATGTGAATTTTTAGGATTAGAAAATGTGTTATGTTCTCAGATTTTTTTTTAATAAATGTCAATATATCTTGCAAATTATTAAATAACGGGATTGCTGGGACAAAAGTTATCAAGTAGTACTTGCGCCCAGTGTCCCTTGGGTATGTTCTAAAGGTTGATGAAGTTGGAATGTAGACAGTATGAGACTAGGGTTCGAATACCGGTAGAGTCAAAAAGTTAGGTGATTGCTTCTCATATTTTTGGGTCTTGGTAGTTAGAGCTAACCAGTACTTGCAGGCATCTGATGGAATAGTCGAGGTGCTTGCAAGCAGGCCATGACACCACCATTGTAAAAAAGTGATAAAGTAGTACTCATCAGTGTCATTGGATTTAAAGACGCTCACTAGATTTCAGTTTAATCTGAACAGTTGAGAAAAGACCTATAAACGAAATTTCAGCTGGGGGCATTATTCAAATATACTTTAACATAAAACTTTAATGCCTAGAGTCAACTACTGATTCTCTTCACTCGGTACATTTTCATCCTCCAGCAGCTGCTATTGGTCCTGCCCTTGTAGCCTCTCCTGCAACACATTTGAACATTGGAATGGTTAATCCAGCTGCCTCTCTCTTGCAAAATTTAGATCCAAGACTGACTCAGACAATGGTATAAGCAGTGTTCAGTTTGTATTTCCTATAGAAAGCTTTGGAACATGTTACTGAATGTATCGTTTATTTCAATGCTGCAGCTTGGGTTGCTTCCACCTGTCTATCCACAACGACCTGGACAAATTGAATGCGATGTGCGTACCTACTTTGTCCTAAGACATACTTGAAAGAGATGTGAATTACTACTCTCAAGCTGGATGCATGTGACATTCTTTTGGGTCCTGGACTATGAACTATATTTTGTTACTTATCAGTTAGAAGGCATTTTTATGCTGTCCCCCAATCAAAAGGTGCCGCTTAATTGGCATTAGATCTGTATATCTTAGGACCCGAGGAGCATCTTTTGCAGCCTTGTTGTCGGGTGCTTGCATGATTGCTCTTTTTCCTTGAACCTGTCACTTGTCTTGACTGTTGAATTCACCTACCTTTGCCAAAAGACCAGAAGTACATTGTATCAATCTTGAAAAGAACATGGTAAACCTTTCAAAACATGAACATAGTTTGCAGTACCACCTATATCAGATACTATCTGGAGTCTAGTAAATGTAGCATTGTTCTTACCTCTTGTTGACTTTTAAATTTATTACTTCTAAGGACAAGTGCATGTTATTAGGCCCTCATCTATGCTTTTTAAGAGTTGACTTACAGTATGCATACATATACACATAACGTATACACAGTAGATACTATAGGGAGCTACCTGTCTTGTTGCTATACTATTATCTAAATCAGCCATGAATTTCTCTTCTGATGTTCTTAGTCTAATTGGATCTAGTCATTCACTATCTTTCTTTTGCACATCTTGCTTGGTCTGTCATGTTGTCCATCAGTTCTATATGAAAACTGGGGAATGCAAGTTTGGTGAAAGATGCAAGTTTCATCACCCTCTTGATCGTTCAGCACCAGTAGTGTCAGCAAAGGATGTGCAGCAGCCAAATGTTAAGCTTACTCTTGCTGGTCTACCAAGGAGGGAGGTACTTTGTTAACCTTTTACTTTCTAAACCCTAAATATGACATGTTCATTTTCTAGTGGGCGAAGTATTTCAAGGCATTATATAAATTTTCTGATAACCTGATTCTTCTTAGGGGTGTTTAACATCCCCAAAAAAATGTGTTGGTTAGATCTTCACAAGCATTGGCAAATAACACGATAACACCGTACATTGGATAACTCTTTATAATAAACTATGACAGATGTATGACTACCGCTAAAAAAAATACAGACTTCCACATAATTCCTACTAGTGCATCTTGTTACAGGTATTACATTGCACCCAATGGTTGTGTGTTTGAATATCTTCTGATCAGTGAAAACCCCTCGCAGAATACTAAATTTCTGTACTGATATGTACATTTGCAATTTATTTCCATCCCCCATCCATTCTTAACAGGGCATATAAACTTAACTCCTCAACTTTAGTTGATGGCTGTTATTCTTTGAATTGTATCTAAACCTTTTCTCATTTACTTGGTCAGTTGGAAATGCAAGTAAAAGATTTTTTTCCTCTAATCTTTTGCGATGATACTGGCAGGGTGCTGTACACTGTCCATACTATATGAAGACTGGAATGTGCAAGTATGGGGCGACATGCAAGTTTGACCATCCACCACCCGGAGAGGTCTTGGGTATGGCAACATCGCAAGGAGCATCCTTATCTGTTGAGGGAGAAGATACGCTTGATGTGAAAGAGCAGCAGCAGTAAGGTTATGGCTGAAAGGCCTTTCTTGTAGTCGCAGTCTATTTCAATTACTACTTCTGTTTCCCTTTTATAGCAAACTTAAGATTTGTGAGGCATAATTTTTCTTGATGAGAACCTGACATTTTTAGAGTTCGAACAGTTTCTCGTCCACACCAGATGATGAACGTTTTTATAGCTATAATATGCTTTTTAATTCTGCACAAAACCTATTTCCAAAACCCGAAAAAGTGAAATAAAACCCATTGTGAAGTAGCATGTGCACATTTAGATTTATTAATTTAGCCCTCTTGGAAAGATAGAAAAGCACCTAAAGACTAAAATCGCTATGAGTTGAGTCAAAGGACGAAGAAGGATAAGAAGCTACCAATCACAATTTAATACGACACTGGTCGCAAAGACTTCGAAAGATAGGGAACTGAATGAAAAAGAACTCAAGAACAAGAAGGTAAAGAGAAAAATCAAAGATGGAACGCTGTAGTGGCAGAAATTACCACATCACATATGGCTTTAGGTGACAAAGATTAACGAAAAGATACCATCATAAAATAATGTATGATGAACATCGGATTCGATTACACCTATATTCATGAGAATGAGATATAATTATAGTTACGTTCTTGCCTATTACCATATAACGATTAACGGAACATATGAGTAAAAATAACGATAAATTCTTTTGCTCTTATATGCCTCGTCGGAACAAGAGATGTGTATCTTACCATTAAGAACAATTACGAAACTATAGCCAATCCCAACTGATTGACAGAACAATCTTAAGCAAATGTTGTTTTAATATATTTTGCAGCATTTCAGGCCAGAGATCCAACTTATGATCTCTCGTCTCTTGTTGGAAGTCAAAAAGTGACACTTAATAGACAAACGAAAGCTATAAGGGTATAAGAAACTGGCTAAAAATCTTTACACGTGAGTCAGTTCTCAAAGCTTTACTTATGATTCGGCTTAATTAAAAGAATAAAAGACGAAGTAGCGAAGACATGGAAAAGAAAGTTAACGACAAAGGGGAGATGAACTACGAAAAATGGATTAGCCAGGTATGAGAAAAAACACAACCTCATATGAAGTTGTTTAAGCAAAATAAAAAGCAGTAGCTGTATTGGTAAAATATAACTCTGTCACGTGGATAGTTTATGTGGCGATACGATGCTGCCTGGGTAAGTGTCATTCCAGGGGATGAATGAACAATAGAAGTTTGCCCTCACAAGAAATATCAATTGACTCGAAGCTCTGGTTGTTTGTTCTCATTAAAAGGCTTGTCTCTAATTTGTCAATTTTCTTTCTTTTTTGTAACTCAGAATGACTGGAAAGAACGCTTAGCCAACTAATCAAGCATGACACCACAACTTGGTGGACAACTGAAGGACTCTCTCAATCCTCAAGAAAAGCAGGTCCCACCTACGGGTAAGGAGGTACCAGTTAGGAAAGATGGAACATCACTAAACAAGGACAAGTCACAACACAAAGATCCGTCCTTCAATACGGACTTGCCGACCCACAGCTTCGCCAAATAGAGTGGCGAATCCTCACGACAGGATTTTTGAGGGGCATCACCTCGAAGGAATTCCTTGGATCAACCTAGTTTAGAGAAAATTTTGAAGTCTTTCACGGCTCAACAACAGAGTTTGAATACTCAGATAGGTCTAATGTTCAATATATTGATTGGGGGTAACAACCGTAGCAGTACACCAACCCCCCAAATAGGAACGACTCTGGCCACGGATACCCCTAACTCATGCTGAAGGCTTTCGGAATTTCTAACAATTCCAATGCTGGAAGGTCAGGTACATCCAAGAATGCCAAATTATAAAGTTTAATACTAACCCTGCAACAACAACTTATGGAACATAGCAAGTGGATCAAGCAGATCCCGGGAGTTCCACCCATTATCAAGGGAATCGGCATAAACAAGTATTCTCAGTAACCATGGAAATCAAGCGCAATCCCACTACCAATCCTTGAGAAGTTCAAAATGCCAGACATTTTGAAATATGAAAGAACCTGAGACCCGTGCGACCACGTCATTACTTACACGATCGGAATCAAAGGGAATAATCCCACAAAGGAAGAAATCGGATTAGTGCTCCTCAAGAAGTTCGGAGAAACCCTAACAAAGGGAGCTTTAACCTGGTACTCCTATTTACCTGAAAATTACATTAGTTCTATTTCTGAACTTGCAAATGCCTTCATCCAAGCATTCTCTAGAGGATAAAAGGTGGGGAAACAAGTGAAAGACATCTTCAAAGTCCTACAAGGAAGAACAGAGTCGCTCCGAGACTTCATCGATCGATTTCAAAGGGAGAGTGTGCTGCTTCCCGAGGTTCCAAATAATTGGGCCGCTGTGGCTTTCATAAGAAACTTGAACCCAAACATTTTAGAAGCCTTAAAGAAATTAAAGGAGAGCCTACAAGAATTTCTGCCAAAACATGGAATGATATGTACCATAAGTACATCACTAAGTTTCGAATAGAAGATGATATTTCAGCACTCCCAAGATTTGAAGGAAAGGAGATGACCGGATACAATTGCCGGCCCAAAGTATTTCGTAGACGAGACGAGCCCAAGCACGAGACTCCAAGATCCGGTATGAACCTTATTCCAAATCCATGCGTGGACAAAATGATCAAAGGCTAAGATCAGGTTGCTGTGATAGAAACTTCGGGTGGAGGAACGATGTGGTACCTCATTGAGCAAGAAAGGAACCGAAAACATATTAAATCAATGAACATTAACCTAGACTGTAGGTGGTCGACTAAAACTTAAATTTCAACACCACAAAATTAGTAGAAGTACTCCGAGACATGGGAGACAAAGTGAGGTGGCCGAAGAAAATGAGGACAGATCCCCGCAAGAGAAGTTAGGCCTGTTGGTGTGAATTCAACGGCTATCATGGACATAAAATCACATAATGAAAGGAGCTACAGGGCAAGGTGGATCGAATCCACAAAAGGGGTTACCTTATAGAACTTTGCAATGTAAATGACAAGAAATCCTATGTGAAGAACAAGAATAATGAAGAACCGCTCTAGGCTTCGTCCCTGAAATGGGTGGTTAATATAATCTTCGGTGGTAAAGCGGTGAACGGTGTTACATATACAACCTCGAAGGATCTTTAAAAAATATCAATTACCCACGAAAAGCGCATCCGGCAGATCCTGGCTGGAGAAGAAATCACTTTCAATGATTAAGATGCAGATGGGCTGATCATGCTGCATAACGATGGCCTTATAATTATTACGCGAATTGTTGATACTGATGTTAGACATGTTTTAATAGATCCAGGTAGTTCGGCCAACATCATCCAAATGTGAGTGCTTGAGAAGATGCAGTCGGATCATCCCAAAAGCACTACTACTCTCTGAATTCAATAACTCTAGAGATGACTAAAGGTGAGATCACTCTGATGACCTTTGAGGAAAGGGTAACCAAGGATACCCTATTCCAAATGGTGGCCGGAGATATGGTCTACAACACAATCTTAGAAAAACCATGGATACATGACATGGATGTGTACCATCAACACTACACCAAGTAATAAAATTTCATTTCATCATGGGGAATTAAAGAGATCTAGCGAGAGAAAAAAACTACCAGGAAGTTAATTCAATTGTAGCTGCCAATACCCTTCCCAAAGGGTAAGCAGACAAATAGCAGCTATGATGTGCCGTAGAATTTCAGCACATTTGATACCGATTACATAGACTATAGTTCGTCTTTCAATGCATTTGTAGTTTAATCTTATAAAGTTTTGGTGTTTTGTAGTGCATGGCACTTGAAGACCCAAACACATGGAAAAGAAGTCAAAAAGCCACAATAGAGTAGGAATGCTGCAAGTATGCGATCGTAGAAGTGGTATGCAGACCGCATAACCACCGCAAACTGAAGCAGCTGTTTTGCCAACTGAAGAGAAGATTGTGCGATCCATTATGTGGTCGTATAACACTTCTGCGAGCCACATAATAACCGCATAATTGCAATTGAAGCAGCTGCCTAGCACTTCTGCGATGGGAAATGCGACTGCATAACTGATATGCAGACCGCATAATGCAAATGCGGTGGATTTTTGGGATTGAAGATCTGCAAATCTGCGATGACAATGATGATTATGCGGAACACATACATAGTCTGCGACCATTATGCGGTCGCAGAAGGTGTCTGCAGGGGCATTTTTGTCCAGTTTGACCCCGACTTTTAGTCCACTATAAATAGTTTTACTAGGGTTTTTGTGGGTCATTAAGTCTGAAAAATGGACAACATTGAAGGCATTGAATGCACAATTAATTTGGAAGCTTGTGAAGAGAGAACCTTGCACTTTTGTAAGCTTTATGACTCTATTTATTGCTTTGCTTTTGTATTTTAGTATGAGTAACTAGTTTTAAATACTAAGGTTGTGGACCCTAAATGGGTGTAATATTAATGTGTGTTTGACATTGAATATATATGTAATGGTTGGTTGATATTTATTCAATTCTTGTGCTTTATTTATTGTTGGTGGTTGCAAACATTAACTTATTCCATTTTACTCTTTCTTTACTTGGAAAAGTGGGTTAGGGTTTTCGTAGAAGTGAATATCAAGAACTCAAGAACTTAACCCTTGTTTAATAGAATCTCTTAGGAATAAGTGGATTCTACTTGGCATAAATTGGTTGTTCTTAATTGCAACTCTTTTAAATTTGGGAAAATCATAAAGAGAAATACTACCCAACCATTGAAAAATATTGGGTAGTCATTTAGAAACCATTTGCATATCAAAGGACTTTCTATTAGAAATATATCATATTAACACCGATAGCATTACATTTCATTGATGGGGACACACCCTTGGTTTCCTTAATCAAATTAATCACATTCTCATAACAAAATAGTTATCTTGTTAAATCACAATTATATCATTCTCTTGTTAAGCTAAAGGAATAGAATTCACACTACTCAAGTAACCTTTTCACACCTATTCCCTGTGGGATTCGACCCCAACCTTGTTGGGTTATTATATTTGACACCGACCGCCTTACACTATTTATTTAAAGTGTAATTTGAGCGCATCAAGCTACAACGGTATGTTCTGGATCAAAACTGTCACGACCCTAAAACCGACCCGGTCGTGATGGCGCCTATCGTGAAACTAGGCCAGCCGACACAACTCCCGAATTACCCATGTAATCAATAACAATCATTTTTAAG